AAAAAAAAAAAAAATGGAGAATTTTCGTCGGGAATTTAAAAACTTTAACATATTCTCGTCTGTAATATTTTATAATTAAAAATATATATATATTACGATTTAATATTTAATTTACGAATAAAAAATTAAATATTTAATTTTAGAACCGATTTTAATTTAATTTAAAAATATACCGATACATTTTTTTAAATTTTAAATAATTTTCCCATTGTAGAAAGAGAGAGAGAGAAAAAAAATGTCGAGACTATCGTACGTAATTTAACGCGTTATTACGTATTAGAATGACGTAACTGTATTAAAATAATTAAAATATTTTTACGTTTAATTATTCGATAGTCGATAATATTTTTAATTTAAAAATTACGCTTATTATTTTAAAATGAGTAATATTAACCAATGAGGTGGCGAGTAGCGGTCGAGTGCGGACGTGTCGCCGCTACGGCCGGTGGTTGCGAAGGCGACGGTCGATAAACAACATGGATGTCGCTGAGAGATGTTTGATAGAAACGTTCTCTTAAGTCAAATAATTATTAACGTGTTTAGAATGTATTTAACTAGTTATAGAGTTCGTTAACCCTCCTAAAAAACAGAAATTAATAATAATAATAATAATAATAATATTTGTTGGAATGTTTGCTTAAGTTGACAAAGATGGAACAGGTAGGTCGAGTAATTTTATTATAAAAAGAAAGAAAAGAAAAAAAAAATGGCTAAAATTGTCTCGCGATTTAATTATTTTGATTTGGAATGAACGAAACAAACGAATACGCGCCGCCGATTATCGATTTACGTGTTTTAAAAGTACGAATTGTCTCGTGCGCGCGAGATGTTTAGCGCGTTATCGAGGATGATGATGATGATGATGATGATCCCGGGCTCCGTCATCATCGGCTTAAATCTATTTGTACTACACTAAAAACAAATTTAGATAAGTGTTTACTCATTGTTACTGTGTACTGAATGCTTACAGTATTGTTTTTTTTTTTTTCTGTTACTAACAAGTAATACTTGTTTATATCAATAATAATTTCCTTATTACGTAGATGTAACAGTAATTGAGTAAAGATGATGATCAGTAACCTCTCTTTTATAAACAAATTAAGAAAAAAATACAGTAATCACATATATAGCCTATACTGTACGCACTTGTACTGTGTACAGTATGTGTGGTTTAACGTGTACAAATCTTGTGTATGTATGTATACATTAGAATAGTTGCGGCCGAAGTTTTCATCTGTAAAACGTGAACGTCGAACGTCGAGCGGCGCTCGACGTTCGACGTTCACGTTTTACAGATGAAAACTTCGGCCGCAACCTCTCTATTATATACAAACACCTATATAGCCGCTTATGATGGTTTTACGACAGTTAAATTGTCGAAATACAAAGGAGGAAACGATAGTTAACGGCGAAGTTACTCTCATAATACGTATTATCATCTTCCAAAATAAATTAACCGAATACAGATGTGTTTTTATTAATGTATTAAGTAGTTTATGTCGGTTACGAGGAAATATATTCTTCACAATGCTCTACCGTTCGTGCAGATAGAGTAAAAGGATAACTTGTTATGTATGCTCGGCTGATACTTGTATCGTTTTTTTTTTTATCACTGCAGGATGTAAATTAATGAATGCTAGAGAAAAAAAAAATACACGGATATTTTTATATGGCGTGTAGAATTAAAACTATATTTTCGGTTTGTGCATCCGTAAAAGAATTAAATCGTATCCTATGCGATAAAGAGCGCACTTATCTCACTGATGGGTACGTTTTAGCAGCGGGAATTACACCAGTTTATAATGAATATAAATCGCAGTTTTTAAACCGGCGGATGATCATTTTTAACAGGAAATAAGAGGCTGTTGAGAACGTAACATCCTACATTCAAGGACGATTCATAGCTGTATATGGGCGCACAATTATCAACTGCAATAATGCTATTTTTGTTGATAGCCGGGATCGGTTCCGGCATGTCAAAAGAATATATATATATATATATATTTTGGCCCGATCACTTCCTCCACACCTCTGTATTACGTAACGGCGTAGGATGTGCCCTTGAACGGCGCTCTTTAGGATGTACTGTACGAATTTCGGGAATGAATTATAATTGTAGACCTTTAAATACAGTAGAATTTTTATCATCTATAGAAAATGCCCGGTGTTGCGATTGAAGAATTAATTCAGTTTCTGACGTTGAAATTTAGTAGATCGTGCAAATTGAGTTTCTGTATGAAGATTGAGTTATTAGAATAATACAATGCTATGGCTTATCCGATAATACACATCGCTAGCCATGTAGGTCTTCGTGATTACTGCCCCCCTTAACGGACGATTGTTTCATCATGTGCATTCTCTTCGAATACCATTATCTACACGAAAATAAAAAGTTAAAAATGAGTTTTTTTCTATCTTTAACAAAGGATCTTTCTTCTTATCTATGCTAAATTATAATAATAATAATATATCTTGAATATATTTTTTTTCCTCTATATTAATTCTAATAATTAATTTACACTCACAGTTTATATATTAATCGCTCTATAGAATATTTCGGGTGAATTTTTAATTTTATTTTAATGTTTGTCGTCCTCTTCCCAACCGGAAGCAGGTGAGACTTTGGCATAGAAAATAGCCAGGATTTTAGGAAGAAAAAATTTGTTGAGAAGCCTCACCTGGTAACTTATAACTTAAATATTTCACATTATTCGGTAATAATTTGTGAAAATTACTTTGGATTATGGCTTGTATTTGAAATTTAAATCAATTGACTTAATACAAACATAATATTTCCTTATACATGTATCAATATATTAACAAGGCTGCCAAGGGCCGTGTGTAGACAGTTCACCTCTTCGCCTCGCCAGCCTATTTTGCCAGTTTTTATGAAATATATAGAATGTGTATTAATTAAAGACAGTCTTAAATATTTTATTTTTATTAGTAAAAACAATATTAATCTATAAAAACCTGTATGGACCCCTGAATTTTCTCTGGATCGGAAAAATCGCCGACTTCCCTTTCCTATGGACAGTCCTGTATATTAATTAACATATACATATTATACGTGTAATATGTATGTACTGTACAGTTAATATTTAATCGAATTATGAATCAATCTTAAACCTCCCCAAAAAATGCTTGTGTTGATTTAACAGAACACTGCTTCTACTGTTACGAAAATTTCATTATAAATAACAATAGAAGTGTGAATAAAATGGAATTATTAGGTAATTCGGCAAGAAAAAATAATTATTTTAAGTAAGAATTATAAGAAATGTAATTTAAAAAAACTTCAAATTGTAATATTTAAGCTTGTGTAAGTGTAAAAATCGTGTAAGAAATCAACCAAGATTAATTGCCATTGGAAAAAAAACGCGCTTTTGTAAATTGTAAGAATGATGCCATTGTTCTGCATTTAAAAATTGAAAGCTATTTATACATAACACGAATAAAGAAACTCGTTTATGAACCATACATAATGAAATGTCTTATGCTGTTAATATTTTTACACTGTTTCAAGCTTAATTTTTTTATGTTCGGTGGTTTTATTCATCAGTGGCCGAGTGGATAAAAACCACCGAACACTGGTCGTGGATTCGCACCTCACCACGTGGAATTTTTCGGGTTCTCTTCACGTTTGTAACACTTAAAACCTAAATAAGGACTAGTTTCCGTAGAAGTCCTCCCGGATTTGCATCGCCCACGTGTTGCATCTCGTTGCTGTAAACAAATAAAGTAAACCAAATGGATACACTTTACATTATTCCTTAATTTTATATCTTAATTAGGCCTACTTCCAAATATACTTCTTAAATTTAACTCTCACCGCTTTGTTTAGCAAGCCCATTACGGGTTCGGACAGGCCCACAACGGATGCCGACAGACAAGGCCCGTCCCTATATATCGAGTCTCGCCTCTGGCCAAACCCCGAAAAATTTCTTGGGTTTTTTGACCCGTCCCGGATTCCCAGAGAGGTTGATTGCCATCGTCTACAAATATACTAAAATAAATTTACAATTTTTAAAAATAAAATAGAGATTTTCCGATCATATCCGCAAGGTTTTTTTACGTGACTCCGCCGAATGTCTTACGAAATTTAATTGGGCCTTATTGAGAAAATGAGCGGCATCATTATCTTATTGTTGCGAAGTGCAGTAAACCTTCGGTTTAACGGAATAATTGGGGGAAAGGGCATGTGCGCTATCGCCGGGAATTCGTTAAATCGAGTGCGTATTACACACTTTTATATATTAACGAATTTAAAATGTTATTATGAAGTATAAGTATAAATAAAATAATAATATAAGCGAGGTTGCGGCCGAAGTTTTAATCTTTAAAACGTGAACGTCGAACGTCGAGCGCCGCTTACAAGAGCGGCACTCGACGTTCACGTTTTAAAGATGAAAACTTCGGCCGCAACCTCGTTAATACAATGTACTGTACAGTACATTGACTCTTTAATGCAGCCTCCCAGAATGGTTTCTGCTATATCGAGGGTTTACTGTATTTTTAAGTGTTTAAAAAGTTACGAATGGGCGATTTATTTGTAGAAGCCACCTGTATTACATTTGATTATCTGCGTACATTTGTGACGTGTGAAACACTATTCGATAATCGACGATGCGAAAACACTCGCTACTTTTTTTTTTTTCCTTCTTCCATCTTTGTGTTTATATGAATGGCTTTCCAGTACCCGAAATATTTATTTAGAAAATGAGTAATTTTTTTCCCCTATTTTTCGCCGTGTGAAAAACCTGGTACTAGGAAATTTCGTGCTTATTGTCCAGTTAGTTTATATATATAACCTTGAAGCTCCTTTTGTGTGCTGCGAATCAGTACCAGTTTCGAGATATATCTCCGGGATAACGTTAAGTGGAACCTAGATTTCGTTAAAAAATGGGGACGAGTAATAAATATTTCGATCGCGCGCACAGGGGGAAAAAAATAATCGTATGCAAATTAGAATGGTTTTAGCCTCTAACTGGGATCTATTTTTACCACTCGGAGAGTTAGAATTATAATGATGATATCATGGAATAGCGGAAATGAGTGTTTTCATAAAGAGGTTGAATAGTATGGGTGGGTGGTTCGAGTTAAATAGTGATGATAGGTCAGTGGACGTACACAATAGTCTTTTGTTTTTCTCATTCTCTCGAAGTGTGACAAAATAATCCATATAAAACTCTACGGAATTAATCGAAGATGCGTAATATGTAATGTTTTTAATAGCTAAACTGATTGTATCGGCCATTTTTTTTATTATATAATCATTATTCAATAAAGGATATGTACTCGTTACCCGATCTATACATCACTGTCATCTCACAGTACGGATTTCTCTACGTTAATCTATACACATCTTCTAACCACCTGTTCGATACTTTGGCAGATTTATAGATGGATGAAGTCAAAACAATAAAAAAAAAATGTCGCATTCGTTAAACCACGGTGTCATTATACTGTGAGAAGAGTTAAAAATCCTAATAACAGCTGCTGTGTGGGAAGAAGATGCTGCCATGTAGCAATAAATAATGTAACTAGACAGATAAAAAAAAAAATTATAAAGTCGATAACAGTCGTCTTCCTGACTTCGGTGAGGGACCCAGAAATGATATTTAATGGGGGGTTTTTTTTAATATAAAATCGAACTCGAT